CGTTTAACAACACTAATTGAAACAAATGTTAATTTGGACTAGTTGTATTATTCGTTAGAATTTCAGTTTCATTATTAATATTTTTATAATGTTTATTATTTAAAACGTAAAATTTAAGATTCATCATATTTACTTTTAGAAATAATGTCATTATTTTCTAGGCATTATTTCGGTTTTTTTAAAAATACAAAAATATAATAAATGTGTGATTAAATTGCATGACTGTGTCAAATTAGCATAAATTTCTGTCAAGTTTTTGGTCGAAAAAATAAACCAAAACCAACCCAAACAAAAAAGTCGATCTGGTCGACCAGATCCATAGACTCGAACATCAATCTGAGCACCGACCCGCACATCGACCCATATAACAGACCAGAGGGTCAACCCAAAAGCAAATATATTTATAATATTTTTTATATAAAATATGGACCTCTGGCTAATAAAGAATCAATACAATTATTTTATTTTTTTAAATATTTATACTTATTTGCCGTCTAGATGGCACCCAGGTATAATTATAAAAATTAAAATAAAGAAAGGAACTATTTTATTTATTTTAACATTCACATTTTTATTTTTTAAGACAATACTATACAAGTCATAGTAAACAATTGAATTAATAAATATAATTTAAATGCTATTATATAAAATTTCATAAAATCAAACTAGTATTTTGTACAATAAAAAAATATATTATGGTGTGTAAAGTGATAAGATACTTTTTTAAAATTTATTTAATGGCCCGTAAAAATTCCATCAAAACTCTCAAAAATCATAAGATTTTAGAAAGATATAGTTATTATTTTTTGAAAAGTGTTTCTATATGGATAGTATAACAATGTTTTTACCTAATAATAAATTTATGTTTTTATATATAAAATACTTTATAACGTTTTACGAAATGATCGGAGAAGTGTTTTTTTTATAGATCCAATCCCAAAAAATTTCATAAGTGTTAGAAAGTACGATATTTTCTGAAATTTTATCAGTATTGACATTCTGTAGTTCTTTATATTTATATTTTAAGCAGTTATAATCGGACTAATTTTTATTATTTCTTTTTCAATGTCCATCTTAATATTTACCTTACGGAATGAATTTATTATTTCTTTTTAGCTACATTATATTAACTTAATATTTACCCTACGGACTTTATATATTTTACCTCATTATATTAACTTAATAATTTTTTAATACTTTATGATTGTTATTTTATATTAACCGATTAAATAAATTGTTAAATTGAATTATATATTAATGTAAAATTTATTAGATTTATCAGTTAAAATTTTAAAATAAAAATAAAATTTGTATAAATTTTTTATTTTTGTCTTACTCCCTGCTTACTTTAACAATTCCTTTCAGAAATCCTAGTCGAATTGGATTAAAAAATTTTTTTTAAATTAAGGACTTCGAAAAATGTCTATCCCATCTTTTTTGCTGATGTCATTTGAAAATTAGTATCCCTTAATTTTGTAAGAATTTTATTAAAATTATTTTATTTATTTTAAGACAATATATAATTATTAACAAATATTAATAACGGATTAAATTCAAAATTTTATATAATAAAAATGAATATCAACTCAAAATATAATATTGTTTAATAAATTTTTATTAAGTTTGATGATTAAAATATCGTCTACATTTGTCCAATCTAGTTTGTAATAGGTAAAACTTAATAGGAGTGCACTGAAGGATCTTTTTATAGATAATTGCGAGCAAGGCAGCTAGAACTATTCGATAGAGGGAATATTATACAGGTTCGGGAAGGCTTTTGACTATAAATTAAGCAATAAAGAAAATTTGAAGAAAAAAGAAAAAAAATACTGATAAAATTTTATTATCAATGCTTTTTTAAATTTAAATGAAACTTATAGCGTAATTATATCCAAAGATACCTAATATTAAATGGAATGCATTTGACCAAAATACCCAATTATTTTTTTGACATTTAGAGATCAATATCTCAGTCGCTGCCTAAAATTTATTTTTTTCTTAATTATAATATATGGGGACACTTGTAAAAATTATAGAAAAATCTGAGGGGGTCGAGTTGGAAATCGTCATTAAGACCTGGATTGCGAGCAATATTAATTTTTCTAAATGTATTTAAAAATAATAAATGAATATTAAATATTTGTTCTATTTATAATGCTCTCACTCTTTATCCATTTTAACTTTCTTATTACAGCCATCTAGAGAATTACAAATATTTTGACTATTTTTTTTTAGAACTGGTTTCTTAATTTTATTTAGTTTATATATATAATTACTTATTTAAAATATTAATTTAGTTCTATAAGATAAAATTGCTTCAGCTAATTCATTTATATTTATGAGAATATGTTGACTAATACCAAGAATAGAAAATTATAATTAGTCTCATATTGCCGAGACAATCTTTATAGTACATATGAAATAATACAATTGACTTTTTTCCAATATAATTTACATTTAAAGTTTTATTGTCATTTAAATATAAATTATTGAAACATATGATTAGTTGCTCATATTAATGGAAGAAGAAGATTAAATATTTTTAAAAAAATTTTTTCCTCCACTCTACATTTCAGTCAAAATATTAATAATTTTTATTTGCCTATATTTTTTAACTAGTAGATTCTGTGATAAAACTATTTCATGGTAGATTAGGCATCTGGTATTTTTTTAAGGAGTTTAATAAACATTATTATTTTTTCTCCCTATCTATCAGCCTAGATTCACTAAGACCAAAGTTGTAGGGATTTTTATATTGTTCTCAGTAAAATATGAGGACGTATAAAATTTTTTTATAGTCATGAAACATCACTTAACATATATAATTGATAGAAGAAAGATTAACGTGTTTCATAGATTTAATAAGGATTTCGATTAATTTATAGATTGATTATAAGTAACATGCATTTTTTACACTATTTTAATAGAAATATATTTACTAGAATATATTTTTTTGACATTTATTTAAATATTAATTTATATTATATTAATAATATCAATGTGTAATTAATATCAACCCCAAAAACGAATAATTTATAAAACAACTCTAAAGATGAATATGTCAAAAATATTCATGTATGTTATTTGTTCCAAAAAAACAATAAATGAGACAAAAGGCTCTTATTTTAAAATTTTTTTTTAAATTCAATTTGATAATATATCATTTTCTATTACCATCTCTGATAGAGTTATTTCATTATAGTTAATTTAGACGTTAAAGTTGATATCGTTCATTTTTTTTTTACTATTTAGAAATTATGCGTCAGCACCCTATGATCAAATATTAATTTATTCAAATCATGTATTGTAAACTCTTTTTTAAATCAGAAATAACTTTTATGTATGAATGATACAATAGGACTATATTTTCTTATAGGGAGAAAGGGTGGAAGCAAAAAGCACTACCAGTTGTTTTTTCCTCTATAAATATTGGCATTTTATATTATTATAAAAATTATTTTGGTTTTCACTTCTTTTTCTAAATATTTTGGAGTAGTTATTTCAAAAAAATATTAACTTTTAATTATTTTCTTTTTAAGATTATTGTTTTTAGTAATACAATGTGTGCATTTTTTGAGGAATAGGAGGTGGGGGATGTGTAGGAGAAAATATTTTATCAGCTTAAATTATATTTATGAGAACAGGCAAATTTCTTGGTAACGCATATAAATTGAGGATTTTTTTGAAATTAATAGATTCCAGATTCCAATGGTTAAAAAAAAGATTATTATATTTAATGATAAAAGTTTTTGCCAAGATTATGTAATAAATAAATTATATTAAAGATTGAAAAGTACCAATCTATGGGTCAACCTCAGGTCTTGTTTTTAACCCCCGAAAAAAAGAGTAAAATTAATCTGCTTAGATTATAAAAAATTAATAATTTTTTTAAATTATAAATATACTATAAATTTGTATAAAAAAAAGGTTGTTTCTTCTTTAAAAAAATATAAATCAAAATATAAATTTGAACTCAATTAAAATATGCATTGTGGCTAGAATTTTCTTAAAAAAAATTTAAAGTTAGTAAATATCTTGAAGGTTAAACTCCCAAAACTTTATTAATATCCTATTTATTTTTTAATGAAATTAATTTTCAAATTAAATATAAAAAAAAATAACCAACATATTAACCCATGAGTTTTTGCTATCATACCTGTGTATTAATTTCTCAACCATAATAGAAGGATTTTTAATAACATGGTAACGAATAATGAGAAATATTATTTCATTTTAAATTTTAAATTTAACCATGTTGTAAAAAACCTGCATGACCTGTTCCTGGCCTTATTTTTAAAACCAAATTTTGGTCTGTATGGGGCAGACTTATAGGAAGAATTTGAAAGAAAAATTTGTAAAAATAACTTTTAAAACTAACAACTGGAAAATCCAAAATTATTTTTATAAAAGTCTAATATAGGCTTATAAGTTGACCTAAAGATTTCCAATAAAATTTATGAGGAAAAATTTACCCCCCTTAGCAAATCATGGATACGCCTATGTGTCAACAATACCAATTAATACAAGTACAAGTAACGGCATCAGAAAATCGATTGAATAGACTAGCTCTGCTTAATATACATAGAGATTAATTCCCAAAAATTATCAAAATTGCTAGAAGATTAAATTTCTATTTGATTAATAAATAATTATATAATGTTTAATTCTAAATTTATTGTAAACTCTAATATTTTTTAACAATATCCATTCTTTAGTTACATATATGGTATATATACTATCTAAATAGTTAGCAATATCATTGATTATTTTAAATCAAATCATAAAATATGCAATATAAACAACAGCAAGATATTTTAACTATACTATATTTTAAAAAAAATTCTACTTTATAATACATTTTTAAAATTGATTAGATTTGTGTTTATTTAATTGCAATTGTCAAGACAAAAGATTTTCAAGGTAACTTTGTATTTGTAATTTATGCTATTTAATTTTATTTTTTAGTTCTTTTAATAAATTAATAAATTTTTTTGAAATAATTTATAAATATTCCGGTCTATAATAAATTTAAAAAATTTCCTATAATTACTTTTTATAGTTATCTTAAATTTTTAAAATGATAACTTCTTATTCGATAATATTCTTATTGGCAACTTTATCTTTCATTCCCAACGGTAATTACTATTAAACAATACATAAATCAATGTTTTATTAAAGGAAGGTATATAGAGCTTCTATTTTAGTATTTTTTTTCTACTAATCTCCCACCGAATATGGGGTAAAAAATAGACGTTCATGTAAAAAAAATTAAAATAACTTCAAGCCCTATTTAAGTTTGTCACAACTATTAAAAAGATTTAAAAATTACTATAAATTTTTAAAAATAAGAATATTTTAAGATTTTTATTTGAGGTAGTGCAAAATTTAATCGCTTTGGAAATCATCTAAAATCATTTGACAGAAAACAGATAAATTGAATGGTGCAAAATTTTTTACATATGTTATTATATACACTTTTTAATCTATTTATGTAGCAATAATTCGTACAATATTTTTCCGTATAATTAAATTTCCTTATCATTAAAGCTTTCTATTTTGAATCTTTATATTGGTAATCCATTCTTTCCTACTTAATACAAATTTTTTTTTCATATGCTTATTGGTCAAGAAAATGTTTTTTAAATTTTTGGAGGTAAGAAATCCCCTTTTATTAAAGACTGAAAAACGAAATCTAATTCTTTTAGATTTTCTTATTGATTATTTTTTAAAAAATATATACTATTTATAAACATTGTTAGAATAATTTTTTGATCATAGGGAATACTATGGCCCAGAATTTTTCAAATAATAGCCGAATAATAGGATCCTATCAAAATCAACAACAACAAAGGAACTCTATTATAAATGGTATACAGTGAATTTATGAATTACATTAATAATCATTTGTAGAATTTTGTGCTAATAGATGTGCCAATTTTCAAAATCAAGATAGCAGATGCTCTGTTTGTCCTAGCCAGAACCAGTCCAATGCTAGTGCTAGGTTTCCACATCGGCGTCAATCCTAATTTTTTGGGAGGAGAAGGGGGTGGTGTAACTTTGAATAATGCAAATTTATCACTTTAAAATTATATAATTAAAATGTTTAGGATTAAATTTAAGTTCTAAATAAGATTTTGCAAGAATGAAATTAAGAAAAAAATTATTATAAATATTTATATATATGATGTAAATAGATATCTGCGCTTCCTAAATTATAAAGGAGAAAAAATTGTTTATAAATTTTGTCTTGAATTTATATCTTTTATTTATTTAAAAAAAAGAAAGAAAGTGAGAAAAGTAAGAAAGGAAGACGTGAAAAAAATATTATAAATACTTAAATAAACTTTTAAGTAAATTTGTTCAACTCGGTTGATTTCAGTCAGATTTTTAAATTTATGCATATAGGGGAAATGGACCGTTCTGTACAAGGGAACGTTATTTCACTCATAATTTAAACTCCTAATTTATAAGACTGACATGATTGGCTAAAAAGTATTTGAAAATTTTTTAGTATTATAATTTTTAAAGAGGAAAAATAGCATACCAAAAGTTACAATAAATAATTTCTAACTTTATCATATCACTTTAATCTTAATAACTAAATTTTAGGAAAGTTTCCTACTTTTTTAATCTGAAAATTGTTCAGAATCACAAAACTTGAAATAATAAGATTCAGAATGATATTTATAAAGATAGAGTGCATAGTTGTCCTATTAATTATTACATATTTTTAATCTAAAAGATTAATTTTTATTATAATATACATTAAATAATATTAACTTTATTTATATAACCCTAAAATTTCTTAAAATTTCTAGATTCAATTAATTTCCTTAATTTTTATTATGATATTATCATACATTAATATACTTTAGATCCTCTAATATTATAACAATATCAAAAAAAATATAATTTTATTAGACATCTAGTTTATGTCTTGGCCAACTATCACATATAGGTAGACATGTGCGCCGACAGCATTTTCGGCGGCGGCGTTTCTTTTTTTAAAATGGGCTGGCGGCGGCGAATCGATTTAGACGCTGCCACAAAAATCGGCGGCGGCGCGACGGCGTCAAATATTTTTCTAACTTAAATTTTAAGTAAATTTATAAATTCATTGGAAACACTTTTAAAATAAAATTTATACTTTATTATGTTTATAACTATAATTTAATGATTTTATTAAGTTATAACTAACATGAATAAATATTATTTTATTTAGATTTAAAGGACATAATAATGATCTTTTAGAGTTCAGAGTGAGCCCATCTATAGAAAATACACGCTCGCTGGGTGTGCTTGTAGCTGGAACGCACAGGACCTTTCTAGCTAATATTGAAAGTTTAGGAAGATCCAATGCTCTTATCTTCCAAAAATTTAAGACATCTTTTATCTCCAAATTATAAGGCGAAAATAATGAATAACACTCTTTTTCTAAACTAGTTAAATAGTGTTGTTGTTCCAGGTTATTGTTTTGAATAGATGAATGCTTCGTAGCCAATGACTTAAGATAATCGAGTTTTGAAGCAACTTCCGTCGTTTTACATTTGTTTAATTCGTCCGTGTAAGACCGTAGAGAGGTAGCGTGTTGACATAAAAATTTAACCGGAGTAATATTTTTTTCCTTTAAATATTCATTTACTATGTTTATTGATTGAAAACGAGAATCCAAAAGTGCTCCTAACACCTAAGTAAAAAATAAAAGAAAGAATAATGTATAAAAAGTAATTTATGTATTTTAAAATACTACCTGAAGATCGGTTATTGGAAATCTATGATCAAATTTAGTAAGCCATTTTCTTTTACAATTAAATGATTTTTAATTTCACTACGAAATAATAAGGCTAAATTTGTAGTAACTCCTTTTTGGACAGATAAAAATTCAACAGTTTGTTTGAAGGTTTTAAGAAAATTTAAAAGTTCATACACCAAGTCCCAATCGGAGTTAAATAATTTGAGATCCGGTTTCTCCATTCTATTTAATAGAATATTTATAGGATTTTTGTTATTGCCAGTCACACTTTCCAGTATTATTAAAATACTATGCCAACGTGTAGGCACATTTAATTTTAAGGTTTTATGTTTTTTCTCATATGATTTTTGATTTTCACTATCATCATCATACCCCAAACGATCTTCATAAAAAAGATCATTATCATCCAAATCTAAAATATCCGATGTATATGATATCGATTCAAAACATTTTCTATTTTCTATATCGTTTATATTTTCAAAATCCGCTGTTTTGAATCTTAAGGCAACTATAACTTCTCTAACTTTTTTAATGAGATTTTCAATTTTATTAACTTTTTTTATTCCATCGACTGTCACTAGATTATGTAATCCATGCCCCAAACATAAATGATGGTCATATTCTCCTAGACGAACACTTTTCTTTACACTGGGTCCTGCATCCGTAACCATTTGAATTTTCTTGGACCCTAAATCAAATTCATTTTCAACTTTTTCTATTTCGGAAAGAATAGTTTCAGCGGTATGTTTTTGGGTGACATGATGTGTCGCCAATGTATAAAATACAATATTAAAATTATTATCTATTTCGTGAAAAGTAAAGGTGATATAATTTCGCCGTCTATATTTGTCTGTCCACATATCAAAAGTTATAGCACAAAATTTAGGACCTACATTAATTTGTTGGCATATCATTGATAAATAAACATCATCTAATCCACTCCGGCTAAGTGTAGTTCTGTCAGGTAACTTTGGCATCTGAAATATTGCCATATTTCTACATAATAAAAAGTTAATAATAAAATATCATGCCATAAAAAATTCTAAATGTGGGATGTTATAAAATAATTAAATATCATGCCATAAAAAATTCTAAATGTGGGATGTTATAAAATAATTAAATATCTTAACAAATAAAAATTAAGATTGCCCTATAAAAAATTATAATGATTTTACAAATAACCTTTAGAAAATCTTGCATTCCAGTATTATTTATAGAAGAGAATGGCATTAAATCCTTGCAACACATGAGAACATAATTCCTTACCAGAATCCTTTTTTATCTTTTATAGGGTCAGTTGTATCTTTTACAATGGGTTTGAAAAATAACTTTAAATTTTGTTTAGATATTTCTTCTTTACATGATAAATCATGTTTGTCAAGTAAATGTTTTATTATATTTGATGTGCTGATATTTTTTGAAAAAGATTTGATTGGATAACTAATTAAATAATTTACTAATATTTATAAAATAATCAAAAAATTTACTCTAAAAATGAAGAATTATTTTCATCCTCACCATCTTTATCAAGTGCTATTTGCAAGCATATATTACAAAAGACTTTATCTGTAGCAACACTGGTTCTCTTATTATTTGTGTCAGTTTTTAATATTAAGGATCCAAAATGTTTCCATGCAAAAGAAGGTTTTGCTTGTAAGGATATACTATATTTTGTTACAGGGTATTGCAATGCTGCATCCATTATAATTGTTTTAGTCCTGGTATTTTTATATATGTTATAATGGCAACAAAATAAAAATCATTAAATAAAATTTATATTATGATAAATAATAAATTTTATATAACGAGTTGTAAATTATTTGAATCAAAATAAAAGAATAAAATATAGATTTACCTTTTCAAATTTAATGTCCTAATCTTATTTTATCTAGCACGTTGGTCACAAACCTGCCCAAAGTGAGCGAATAAGGATTGTTACAAATCAAATTTATAGCAAATCAAAAATTATTTAATATTTTTCTTATATTCATAAATAATATATTAAATAAATAATAAAAAATATGTATCACGCCGCCACGCCGCCGAATTTTTACATCAGCGCCGACAATTTTTTGGCGCGCGGCATCGGCGTGGTCAAAATCATCGGCGGCGGCGCATTTGACCGGCGGCGCACATGTCTACATATAGGTATCTCAACGTACATAGAACACTGTATGGTTGGGCCAAAAATTTTTTTACAGATTTAATTTTATAAAAAGTATAGTTTTTATAAATATATTAACTATAGCATATACATTTAGGATTTCGATGACTTTATTAATTCAGATTAGTCTAATATAATAAAATTTATTCATGCTTAAACGAAAAGTTTCTTAACCATTACTTGTCTTTCCTATAATCAAAACAAATTTATAGATAAATATAGCTAATATTCTTAAAAAAATTTACAGGGGGAGCTACCTCAATAAATATCAGGCTCATTCATGAGGGCAGTCAAATAACTTTTTTACTAGAAGATGAGTTAGGGTTGACCTAGTCCACAGGCAATTCTACGTTTCAATATCCTTTTAATCATAAGTCGTCAGAAATTTAGTCAAAATATATTTTTTTATACAATATAAATATAATAGTTGACGACTAAGACCCCACTATTTTGATATGATACAGAGAAAAATAAGTTTTTTAGTTTTCAAATTAATTTTTTCACATTTTATTTTGAATTAAAAGATGAATAGCTTCTAAAAATGATTTTTTAAATTATAAATTTTGTAATATACTGTTACAAAAGATCTATTATTCAAATTGCGATAATATTCAAACAAAAATAATGTTTTATTAAAATTGTGTTAATGAGATGAAAACTGTGATATTGTATATTTTTCATATTTAAGAGTTTAACAATTGGAATAGTTGACTTTTTATTTTTCGCTATAATTTTCTTAATTTTTAATCTTTTTTTATTTTATTTTCCTTTTAATTTTTATTACTTTTTTCTTTATGTTAATTTATAATTGATTAATTTTTAATTAAGAGGTAATGAAGGAATGAGAATTTAATTTTATTTCTTTATATTTTATTTTTGGCTCTAATTTTCTCAATTCCCACAACTGTGCCGCAACCCGGGAGAGTGGATATTTTCCGGGCAACATTTCAGTCTAATTCAGGCAATGGTTACATGGGGAGACGGAGTGGTGTCAAACTCTAATGCAACAATTCTAAAAAGAAAAGGTAAGTATAATATTTAGAGAAAGATAATAAAAAAGACGTATTTTGTTTAAAATAAAAAGAAAAATATTTATCGTTTAAGATTAAAATTGGATAAAAAAGAGATTTAGGTTTATTTTTAAAGATGTAGGTTGAAAAAGAAAAATTATTTTACGGTAGTTCATTTAAATTTCAAACTAATTTTTGTAAATATTGATAAGATTATAATACAAAATTGTGTAGGAATATAAGATCTTAAATTAAAAATAAAGAATTATAAAGGTAGCATTATAGTAAGTAGATAAGATATAAAGAAGTTTGTGTTAAAGTTTTAAAGGTGATAATTTATGAATTTTTTTAGATGTTACTGGTAAACTAAAAACCAATGGAATTTAACAGAAACTGAGACTATGATATTTTAGATTTTAGAATTATTATAAGTTATTAAATAATTGATCACTAGAGATAACTACGACAAAGAAAAAGCCATAAATTGTGGAGATTAAATAAATTTATTTGTAAAAATATTTCAATTGAAAATATGAGGAGATATAAATTAAACAAATAGTTTGCTAAGATATGATAATTTAAAAAATTCTGTGAATAAGATTGGAAACTAAGGGTGTGTTGAAAATTGATGATAGACATAATTGATTTGTTTCTTAACAAGTCAGCGAGAGTTATGAGAATCATAATTTTGGTGTGTTGAGAGACAACGAGACTTATGAGAAGATAAGTCAGAAATAAATGCGTAATGCCACAAGAAGATAAAATATTTTGGGTAAAAATTTGAACTAAGATTTTTTAGCTTTAAAATATTCAAGAGAATTTTAGATTTAGATTCAGCTTTAGACATGGTTGAAAAGATGTGGATTAATAGCTAAAGGCCAACTACTGGCAAATGTCTCAATGAAGATATGGGTCTGGGCTTCATTGAGGGTAAAGGGGTGGTAGAATTGACATAATGGTATAATTCATTTAGCATATTTTGACTATAGAATATTATTATTTATTCTAGAGAAAAAAGTGAGCAAATATTTTGAAGGTAAGAAATCTAATAGATTATGTATGGAAGAATTAAATTAGAGGCGATAACCTTATTAAAACGAGGTGGACATAGGATATATTTTATTGTTATATTGAACTGTGTATTATAAATTGACGAATAAATATAAGAAAAAGTGATAAAATATTTCAGAAGTTATAAAAGGTTAATTAGATTATTTTAGGTAGAAGAGATGCGATTACCCGAGAACTTAATACAAGGATCAAATGAGAATGAAGAGATCTTAAGACAAAGTCGATATTATGGCATGCAAACTGTCGTAGTTGACAAGGAAATCTAAAAGATTGATGCGGTTACAAGAATTAGATAAAAAGAGGTAATCAATTACAAGAGAACGTTGGAAACAAGAGACTAGATAGAACAGATGTTCAAGACGATCATGCTGCAATAGTTAATCGCTTACCAATATCAACAATTGTTTACTGAAATTAGTCTAGATACACAAGTTGATGATCATCGGCACAAGAATTTGTGGAAATAATCTTATAGCAGACAAATTATCGTCAATCGTTTACCAGATATTATGCTGAGCATTAGTTACCAGAAACCGTTAGAAACAAGCAAAGTCTATTATAACTTATCATAGGATTTAAAACAGGCATTAGAAGAAACAGAGATTGTAAAAAAGAATAGCAACCATCAATAATTGATTGGTCATCATCGTGAATCATTGAATGCATGCTTTAATCTAGTTCGGTTCGTCAATCTCCTACAGAGATAAAAAGCTAATCGTTTCCCAGGAGTTCACAAGCAACAGATGATAGAATTCAAGAATTTCAAGTTGTAATTGGATTCGAATGGTCGTTAGAAACTAAGAATACTAGACAAGAAACAGCTGTCGTTAGAAATTAGAAGACATGAAAGATTAAAAGGAATAGATTTGGTGGAGATATTAAAGCAGTAAAGTCGAAATCGAAAGAGAGTTGGTCATTCGCTAAATGGTGGGTCTGACTTAAGTAGAAGGGTGTTATAATATTCTGTTCAAAAGGATTGTTTATTCAAAATGTGATAATATTTAAACAAAAATAAAGTTTTATTAAAATTGTCAAATGAGATGAAAACGCGTGATAATTGGATATTTTTCATATAAAAGTTTAACAATTGGAGTAGTTTGTTTACTTTTTATTTTTGCCTTATAATTTTCTTAATTTTTAATCTCTTTCTTATTTTATTTTTATTTTTGTTACTTTTTCCTATTAAGTTAATTTATAATTGATTAATTTATAATTAAGAGTGTAATAAAGGGATTAGTATTTAATTTTATTTCTTTATTTATTATTTCTAGGCTCTAATTTTCTCAATTACCACAATAAACAATACAAGAAGGGACTTGCATTTTTCTATTTTACATAGGTTTAATCCAAAATGTAGGGGAAATCGGGGAGCATGCGAGCCCCAAAAAGGAATAAAATTAAAACTACTTGATAATAATGAAGAAATATTATATCATCTTATCTCACTTATACGCTATACATAAAAATAATTTCTTAAAAAATTAAGCTATTTTAACGATTTTAATTTTTTTTGAAAGAAAATTTGGGGAAGGATGAGCTACACCGGAAAGGACGAGCTTTCTTCTGAGGTGCCTTTGGGCTCTAAAATATTGATTATCCTTAAATATAAATATGATATTTACAATATTATTGATAAAAATAAGCCATAAAGGAAAATAAATATTAAAAATTAGTGAAATTTATTGACAATTTAAACAATTAAAAAACGAATTAAAATTGCAGCAGGATCCATGCAACCAAAAAGAACATTTACCACATTGGAACTAATCCTAATTATAATAAAATTTGAATAGTTCTTTTTTACATAATAAAATAAATTTTTATTATTACGTTCTTATTATCATTATTCTCCTTCTAATTATTATCATTGTTGTTGTTCTTAGAAACAATTTTCTTAGCCCTTTTCTTGGCTTTCTTTTTATATGATGTCAAAATTGATAAAAATTGATTATTTTTTGTTTCCTTTCTTCTTATATATTTTGTATATGTCATAGACTCAGGAATAAAAAAAATTGAGTCTGATACAGTGGTTGGGATATTTATTCATATTAGCTAATAAATATTGGTGGCTGAATTGATGGGCATGCTTATTTGATATAGTTGACTCATAGTCAAATTTATTTGATCTAATTGAGTCATAAAATGGTTTTGATATAAAAGTTATAATAATTGTTAGTATATATTTGATTCATTATCAAAATATATGGGAATAAAACTTTCACCATTAAATATATAGAAATATATGGTTCTATTCTTAGAGATTAATTCATTTTGCATTGAAGTACACGCACATGCTTTAAATATTTTTAATAATACCTAGTAGGTTATATTTTGTGTAATTTTTACATGGACTATTTCTCACCCAGGAATCAATTAATGAATTGTAAAAATTTTTAAGAATTCAAATATAATTTTATATTTTTGAGTCAATTTGGTGGTTAATTTAATAGAATTAAA